AGTGAGGGAGACATGGAAAAAGACCCACCAAAATTATGGGAAAACGGAGGAAAGTAGCGACCGAGAGACAGAAAAGCCGAAAAAGAGAAAGGTGAAGACAGCAAAAGAGAAAAAGATCGCATGAGAGAAAGGACGGAAGACACAGAGGAAAGGAAGGAAAGAAAGACGGAAGGAAGTGAAAGAAAGAAAAATAGAGTCCTACTATCCTTGCCACTTTTCCGAACACCTAAAACTATTGTAAAATTAAAAGTTCAAAGAGGGGACGGGGAAAGCAAGAAATCAACAGAGGACAAGGTGGGGCTGAGAAGGGGGCAGCCAGCAGACCGGTGGCCAGGAGCCTGGATGCTGGGGGGTGCTAGTCGGGAAGGCGTCGTGAGCGAAGCCGCGGCGTCCTCGCCTCCGCGGTGGCTGGCGCTGGTGACTGCGCTCTAGGGGCCAGGCGCGGAGCTGGGAGCGCCTCGTCGTGGGAGGCCGCGGGTCCAGTTCTGTCGCCCTGGCTCCCTCCTGGTGGTGGAGTGCGTCGCGGGGAAATCCCAGGATCAGTCAGTGGGCAGGAGGGAGAGCGTCCCCGCTGGGCCCTGGAGGGCACGGGAGTCGCAGCCGAGACTAAGTCGCCCCCCTCCCGTCCGGTTCGTTCCCGCAGTGTCGGTGAAGGAGGAGCCGGAAGCTGAAGTGCGCATGGTGAATGGGAAGCCCAAGAAGGTCCGAAAGCCGCGCACGATCTACTCCAGCTACCAGCTGGCCGCCCTACAGCGCCGGTTCCAGAAGGCCCAGTACCTGGCGCTGCCCGAACGCGCTGAGCTGGCTGCGCAGCTGGGCCTCACGCAGACACAGGTTGGTGTTGGGCGGCCGATCGCAGTCAGTCGCGGTGGGTTGAGGGCCGCCGGGGCCAGGTGGAAGGCGCTCGGGACTCCTGGTTTCTCAGTTGCTGCCCAGCCTCGCTGGCCTTTTAAGGGCCCTACAGCTCCTGGAACTCTTGCCTGTGGGAAGGAGGAATGGGGGCCTGCAAGTCTCAAATTCTGCCAGAAGGTTGTGCGTTAGCACGTGTACAAGTGTGCATAGTTGTGAACCTGAGCAACTGTGTATGTCTGTCACTGAGAGGTGCCCTCCTCCTGTACCCCAGGATATCCAGCTCCCTCCAGTGTTGGTCACTTAGTAGAAGTCCCCATCAGTCTTCCCCTTCGTGCTATGCATGAATGAATTCAGTATATGTGTGCATGTATGCGCCGGTCTGTGTTTGCACACATGCTCTGGGTCCGCATGCATGTGAGAATGCTTGCATAAGGAATGCGATCCTTCAAGGGCCATTGTGAAGGATCCAAGTTGGGAGCGCATGTGTGTGACTGAGCACCCTGGTGAGTGCGAGTACAAAAATGTATGCTTGCATCAAAACACCACATTCCTGCTCAGTACCCGAACACTCCACCCCTACCTCTTCCAGGGGCCAGGAGAAGTTCCCTACTAAAGGGAGATAAGGACTCAAAAGTGGGTGCTCCACCCCCACCCAATCCGTGGCTAAAGCCCCTAGCAGCCTGTCACTGCTTAGGGGAGGAGTGGCAGATGCCTGGCTCCCTGCAGGTGTTGACAGGCCACCTTGGTTGCGGCTGTGGCTGCGTGGGGCCCGTCCGCCGGGAATCTGGGTCACCTGGTGAGGAGCTGATTCATTGTTTGTACCAGTCATGGGGTGGGGAACGGCAGGGGGAGGGGGAGATACCCCAAGGAAAATTTGGGGAATCATGGCTCACCTGCTCCTGAGTCCCCAGGTCACCCCCATTACCAAGCCGGAGCCCAGGAGGACTTCACACCCGCGTGTGTGAACGTGGGTGCTCGTGTTTGTGGGTGTTTACCTGGGTGGGTCTGCGTATGTGTGTATCTTTATAGTCTCCGTCTAGTGTCTGTGTGAGGCTGTGAGGGTGCGTTGCTGAGTACGCGGATGCATATGTGGGTGTATTTGTCTCTGTGACCTTCGTGCTTCTGCTTATGGGTATCTGATGTGAACAAAATACCACCGACTGCCCATCTCCACCTGGACTGCCTTCTCTTGAGCGCTTACTGCATACCAGGCTACTCTATGTTTTTTCTATGTCCTAGCTTACTTGAGCCTCAGTGTGGCAGGGGAAGGGGATGATAGTGCAGTCCTCATCCTCATTTTGCAAATGAGAGGAAGCCAAGAACCAGAGACCTTAAGTAATCTGCCCAAGGTAACACTTAGCAAGTGGCAGAACAGAATTTGCACCCAGGCAGTGGAATGTTCTTAACTACCTTCTATCCTGAAGGGAAAAAAGGAGAGGCATTGTGGGAGCCAGGACACCTAGGTTTTGCCTGTTTCTTGTGTGAACCTGGGTGCTGGCCTCACCTTCTCCAGCTGGGTTCCTTTCGGGAGCTTATCATTCTGAGAGGCTAACCAGATACTCCTTTCTTCTTGGCCCAGGTGAAAATCTGGTTTCAGAACCGACGCTCCAAGTTCAAGAAGCTCTACAAGAATGGAGAGGTGCCTCTGGAGCACAGCCCCAATAACAGCGATTCCATGGCCTGCAACTCACCACCATCACCCGCCCTCTGGGACACCTCCTCCCACTCCACTCCAGCCCCTGCCCGCAGCCAGCTGCCCCCACCGCTCCCATACAGCGCCTCCCCCAGCTACCTGGACGACCCCACCAACTCCTGGTACCACGCACAGAACCTGAGTGGACCCCACTTACAGCAGCAGCCACCTCAGCCGGCCACCCTGCACCACGCCTCCCCTGGGCCCCCGCCCAACCCTGGGGCTGTGTACTGAGCACCCACCTGGCCTGCACCCCCTACAAAGGACCCAGGATCAGGCAAAAGGCACCTCTGTCCTAGCCAGCGACACTCAGGAATAAATGAGGAGCAGAGGGGAAAGGCACCCCCTTTCCTTCCTTCCTGCCCCTTCCTCCAAGAGCTTCCAGGTGAAATTTGCGTGGACCAAGGATGTCCCCTGAACCTCTCTCTCCCTGCCTAGACACTGGGGTGCCCTTGGAGATGGTGGGGCATTCCACCCTAGTGGAGACAGCTGTCCCTCTTCTGCTCCAGGAGCCTGGATTGACTTTCAATGGCTCATCACCTTCCAGCTTCTAAAACTTAGTACCTGTTCCCAGACTGAAGACCTTGGAGACCAAGGTACTGTGGAGGGTTTGCAGGTCCCGCCTGGGCTGGGGCGCCAGGCACCATGGATCCTACAACCTGCCAGGCCTGGTTCCTCCCATGTCACCTGTGGCCTCCCCTGCTTGAGTGGCCCCTCTGCCAAAAAGACATCGAATGTCATGACTGGGACCCAGGGTGGGGACCTGAACTAGCCCCCACCCTGCACTTCTAGCCCTCGTTCAAGATTTGAGGGTTAAACCAAAGAACATCCCTAAAGAGAGGGAATCTTTTAACATTTGAGGTTTCAGAGGAAAGAACTAAAGGAGCCACCTCTGTCTTCTCTCCCCCTTTGTTGAGAGAGAAGGAGGGTGGGTCTCCGATGCTTTTCCTAAGGACCTACTCCTTCCGTGTACAGGACTTTGCACAACTTTGGTTTTAAAAGCTGTTGAAAAATAGGAAAACAAAGGGCATTGTTAACAGATAGGACCAAATCTCTCCTTGCTCAGGCACCTCTGTTCTGCCCTTGCCTCCCACCTCACCACCTCCTCTCCCCCAGTAAGTTGGCAGTTTTGGCGCCAAACGCCACATCTCCTAGGAGACATACCAGGCAAGACAAACCCCCAAACACCCCCTTTCTGGTGGCCTTGGAAACAGATTGCTCCTGAGCTGGGGAATGTCTGGAAGTGTGCAGGAGAGAAGGGGAGGGTGATTGATAACTTGTGCCTTTAGGGGTAAGGCACTGCCCCCACCTCCTGACCCAGACTTACCCCAAAGCTAACTTTCCTCCACCCCTGATGTGGTAAAGCATTGAAGAAAAAGAGAGGTAGATGACCATAGCACATATATATATATATGTATACACATACATATATATATATATAGTATGTATTTTTTTAAAGAGCTACAGAGAGAAGCAGCCTCCTCCCTGCTGTGGTTTCCTATTTATGTGACCCTGCTCCTCCTGGACAGATCTCCCTATATGCTGTGAGCTGAGAGAAAGAGGAATGTGGGCTCTGGCTGGATTCGGGTTTGGGGGGAGGTGCAAGATCCAAGAAAGACATCGTGGGTCTCAAAAAGTCCCACTGAAGGGGGCAGGAATGAAGCCAACTCCCACCCCCTCCCAGCCTTCTCATGTCTGCTTTCTTACTGGACCCATCTTTATATGTAATGTTAATAAAAAAGAAGAAAATAACCACTGAGCTCTTTGAACTGGAGGCTGGTGACAGACATCTTTTGAGGGGAGGGCCTGGGAGTTGGGGAAGGTGTTTGGTAGGGAGGGACATCTGAACCTTCAGGGGGCTCCTAGGGGACACAGATTTCCCAGGGAACTCACTGCAGAGTTGTCGGCTGGGCCTGGCCCTGGTGGCAGGTGCTCCTGACTTCAACCTGGGTAAGTCTGGGTGGGAGGCTCCCAGCTGTGGCCTCCCTGACTCCACTCTGCTTGATGGCATTCTCTGTCAGCCAACTCCTTCAGCAGTGCTGCTGCCTGCCGGGTCACCTCAGAGCTGCTCTTTGATCTTGAGCTCACATACAGACATGCTTGCACACGTGTGTAAACCCCCTGCCTCCACGCCCAGGCACTCCTGGCCCCTCTCCCTCTTGTCTGCCCCTTCCAGCTTGGGGTGAGGGTGGAGCACAGGGACACCACTGCTCCCTCAGCTGGCAGAGATCTGGGCTATGGTGGGGTGCAGGGAGGCTCTGTGTTTACCTTTTGGGGGAGGGCTCAGGCCCTGACTCAGAGACTTCTCGCTGTCACCACCCTCCTCTCCTAGGTACCCAGTTTCAAAGCTTTGGAGACTGAGAGCTGGAGGTGACAGAATGAATGGAGGTGTGTGTGAGCACAGATAGGAGACAGTGTGACTGTGGGCACTGCACGCACCTCCTGGGAAGCCACCTCCCCTCTTTTATATACACTAACCAAGACACACAACAACATCTCTCCATTGGCATGCACTTTGTTGAGGCAAACATGTCATCTGCAGGCATAGCCATAGAGAGAAACACACACCCGAGATGCATTAGCATCACACAAATGTACAAAGCCAAAGCCTTAGCACTCTAAGCGATACAGGCTCCCTGACACACAGGTGTCACAAACACTTGTTACTCAAGTCACCTCAGTATTGTCTCTCTCTCTCCCTCACACACTCACACACATACACCACTGTAATGGATAAAGTTGGATAGAAAATCAGCAATGTCACCCAGCAACTGAGGTGACCCAGCTCAGCCTGGTACCTCCCTGTCAGGCCCTCAGTTTCCTCATCTGTCAAATGGGGATAACAATCTCCACCCTGTTGGCTGGAGCTGTTAGGAGGCAAAAAGCAGAATAAGGATGAGAAGGTAGAAAGAGTGGGTCACAAGCTCACAAAAGGGACTTGGGAGACAGTCACATCCACACAGCTGAGGAGTTCTCCAGCAGGGCACCAGAGCTGGCGGAGCCAGAACCTCTCCATCCTACTCCCTCTCAGACGGCAGGCCCTCCCTTCCCCCACACCCTAAGGAGGCGGAAGGGAGGAGGGCCTCCAGCCTACAGACGCCGTCGCCAGCCGGGCTGGCAAGGGTTAAGGTGGCAGCTGCCAGGCGGGGCTGAGCCGAGCAGTTTGGTTTGAGGGCTGCGTGCAGGCAGGAGCAGCGAGGCGGCAGCCGGGCAGACTTGCTGGAGACACTGCATTTTATTAGGGCTGGGCTGCCAGCAAAGGGAGGGAGAGGGAAGAGAAGGGCAGAAAGAGAGAGGAAGGAAGGAGGGAGGCTGGGCAGGCAGGCAGGCGGCTTCGGGATGAAAGGATGTTGTAAGCTCCCTAATTCCTCCCTGCTCATCCCTGCTCTGTCAGGCTGGATTAACTGCCCAGGCGACCTCCAGCTGGGGTCAGCCCCACCCCTGACCTCCCCTTCCTCCTCTCCTCACCTCTAGGCCAGGCAGGTCGCCCTTTTTACCAGCCCTGGTGGGGGCCCCCACGTGGGGACAGGGGCTTGGGTTCAGGACCTGGCAGAGTGCCAGGGTAGGGCTGCTGAGCCCATCTTCTGCCAGGTACTTCTTGACTATACTCATTGCCTCATGATGACCTTTGGGAAGAAGAGGGTAGGCTAAGGAACTCCAGTCTACCCTGAGGGTCACTGTTCTCCAAACCTTAGAAACAGCCAGCATTTGCTAAACTCCCACTTCACACCAGGCACTTAGCCTGTGATCTTTCCAACAGCTTGGGAGATGGGTGGTATCGTGTCCATTTTTTAGATAGGAAAACTGAGGCTAGAGAGTGCCAGTCTCTGTCAAGTTCATATAACTAATACTTTGCAACGCTGGTATTTGAACCCAGATCTTTCTGGAGAATGAGTGCTCTTAATGGGCTTTTTGGAATCTCAGTTTACTAAGACGCCTCAGGGCAGAGTGTCCAGGCTGGAGCCTCTACAGCCCCACCCACCCCAGCCACTCAATCCTTCTTCCTGGGCTCTTCCCTTCAGGAGAATTGGAGAGTGGAGGCTTCTTGCTCAGGGCTGATCCTCGGAAAACTTAATGCTGTGGTCAGGAAGGTGCCCACTGGAGTCAGGAATCAGTTGACCTGGATGTGAATCCTGCCTCCACTTTATTGGTTGTATGACCTTGGGCAAGTCACTTAACCTTTCTAAACCTCAGTTTCCTCATCTGTAATGTGAGGATAATGCCACCTACCTGGCAGAGTTGTTGAGAGGATTAAATGGGATAATATGAGTAAAATGCTTAACAAGGTACCCAACAGATGGTGAGTCCTACTCAGTTAATGGAAGTGACTGGTGACAGGGAAATGGGACTCACTCCCCACCCACCTTACCTGGTCCCTCCAAATCTCCACATCCCAGATTCAGCCCCAGACCCCTGGCTGCACTGGCCACATTGGTTGATCCACCCATCTCTAGGTGTACTCAGAAAAGGAGTAAGTCGACCAATGTTTATTGAGCATTAAACTCTGATTAATGCTGATTAGGAGGCAGGACACCAGATGACCAAAGCCTAGAGAAGGAAGGCACAGACCCTGTGCTAGGCACTCCAGGGCCAGAAGCAGGCCCACCCTGGAGAGGCCTGCAGCTGAGCACACTGGGAGGCACACAACTTGACAAGGTCCTGGGAGGACAGGATGGATAGTCAGAGGAAAGGTGCAGGGTAGCTGATAGTGAGTGGGAAGGAAGCTTGGAAAACTTCTTGGGAGAGGTGGCATTTGAAAGAAGATGGAAGCGTGACAGGCAAAGATGAAGGTCTGAGGAATATACTCCCTGGAGACCCCACCAGCAGAGTGACTTCCCCTCCAGGACTCTAATGGTGTCAAGAGGAATAGTGGGACAACTTAAAAACAGCAGCAGCCTGTGGATCATGTTAGGGCCACTGCAGGAGGGAGGGGAGGCATGGACCAGAGGGTCCCTAAATCCTTTCTTGGCTGTTGGGTTCGCAGAAGGACTAGCGTCTGACTGTTCCCAGCCCCTGCTGAAAGGTACTTGACACGTTGTACCTGGGGCAGGGGAAGCTCTAGTCTCTTTTTGGGAGAAGAAAGCTCCTGCCCTTCTCAACCAGGGAAGTGGATGAGAAGGATAATCTCTAACCCTGTCTCTGAGGCATCCCGTGCACTAGGGATCTTAGAGACACCCCGAGATTCAGCCTCCAAATGCCTCCCCTCAGCATACACCATCACTCCCATTACTCCCCCAATCCAGCAGAGCTGCCGCTCAAAGACAGGGATAACAAATGGTGGGATGCTGGAAGGCTAAGGAAGGACACTGAGGCTCGGTTCTCAGCCCCTCCTCTAGCTTCCAAGACCCTAGGTGAGCGCCTGGGTGGCTAGGCTGGTTGTGTCACATCAATTGTCAGAGGGGAAGGGGAGTCGGGAGAAGGGAGGGAGGAACAGAAGGGGGAGCTTCAGCCAGCACCCTGGCCTCTGTTTTTCTAGCTTTAATTGCAGTGTTAATCACCTTAATAAGCTGTTTACCAGCTACCCAGCAGCCTGAGACTGGGAGACTCAGAAGCCAGAAAATGCTTGGAGATGAGTTTCCGAGGCCCCAGGGAAGGGGAGCAGGAGGAAGATGCTGGGGGTGGGGGGTGGGGGGAGCTTGCTGCAGCTGGGACACAGGGAGCAGGTGAGGGGCTTACGGGAGAAGGATGGGCCAGGAAGTCAAGGCAGGGCAGCCTCAAGCTCTCTTAGCACCTCACCCCCAGAACCTTCCCCATCCTCCAACCTGGGTCCCTAGTCCCTGTCTTTCTCTTGTCCCTCCCCTGTGCTTGTCACCACCAACTCAGGGACTCTTTCCAGGCTCCATTCTCTCTCCATAGAGGCAGAGCCTGCATGACGCCTCCTTGATTGCTTTGTCCCAGCTCCTAGCATGGGCAAGAACCACGTAGAATATTTTGTTCACCCTGGGGAGGGTTGTTGGGCTGTAAGGCAAGGGGCCTGGGGATGCCTTTTATACCAAGGTCCCTGGGAGCAGAGCTGAGGGAGAATCTTAACTGGGAGCATCAGGAATGAGGGCAACAATTTGAGCATGTTCCCCTGGATACATCACCCCAGCGCCCCCTTCGTGCCTAGCACAGGCTAGGATAGCAAGATACTCAGTGAACATCAAACGTATGAATGAATAAGTGAAGTGATAGCTTTTAGGACCCCTCGTGTTGTCCCTCTCTCAGCGCTAGATGAAGGGCTGTGAGCCTGAGGAGGAGTCATAACTGCCCCTCTCTAGGCTATTGGGGATGAAATGGGATATGACAAGAGTAAAAACCAGCACCCAATGGCCACTCGGGGCAGCTGTAGGAGTTGACAGTGATTACACTCTCACTAGGTATTATCTCATC